CACATAGAGCCATATTGCTTTCTCTGAAGGCAAACATTTTTTAATCATCTCTATGGTTCCTTGTTCAGAATCTGGAATAAACACTGTGCTAAAACCCAAATGATTCCTTGGATGAATTTTTTCTCCTTTATTCTGTGCATTAGCTAGAGATGAGTTCATCTCATCATCAGCATCTTTGTCGTCTTTATCATCTACTTCATCGTCTTTTTGTAACATTAATGAGTTTTTATTAGTCACCAAAGCTTTCATCCACGAAACTTTGATGTAAGTATCCTTCTTCACTAAGGTTATCCAAGATAGAGCACCGTGAGTAAATATTCTTGATTCATTAACCTGTAATGAGTTATATCCTCCGAAAAAATCAATCGTATCATCGGGTTTAAGGTCAATCTTCAGCATTAAAGAAGCACGATCTTCACTGGCATCATTCAGAGCCGTTGATCTCGAAAGATCATGTAAAGCAATTGATGTTTCAATCTGCCTTACTTTATCTTTGAAAAATTGAAGTTGTTCATTCATACTTGAAATATCCTTAGAATCCTGATCTGTCAGAAGAGATTTGTTGTTATTATACAGAAGTAGTTCTTTATTGAAACCATTAGTATTCCCCTTAATATCAGCTTTAACAAAATTGGAAAGCTGCGGAGTTTGTTGTTGACCATCCAATACATGTGGATTTTTGAATGATGCTAAAGGGGGTCCAAAGAAATTAGGTAGCTGTGAATTTGAATTATCTTTCTGATTGTTTATAATGTTGCCACTATTGCTGCTATTGTTTGTCTCCATTTTGCGAATTTTTGGATTTGAATCAAAAGACAAGGCAGTTCCAAAATTTAAAACATTTCCATGAATTGATGTGCCAGAAGACCAAGTTCTTTCTTCATATTGACATTGGCAATGTGATTTGATACATCCTCCACATGAAGGTCTTAATTTATCACATTTGATCTTTTTCTTCCTACAGGTTTGACATGAAACCGGTACACGTAATCTTTTCCTCTTTGAAGTTTCAACTTCACCCATATTCACCTATTCCTATAGCAACCTCGGAAAACAGTTTTAACCAACTGTCAATGATTCAAACTAACAATATAGATGTTGAAAAATATTTGTCATTGTCATAGATTTTATCAGTATATTATCTTGATTATAATAATTGCTTAAAAATTACCAAGCCACAATTACTATTTTTAAAAATGTGGCAAGTAAGCTTTTTAATCAAAGCGCCACAGTTTCCTAAAGAGGAAAATAGGTTTTAGCAGAGAAATGCAAGCCGTACTGTGATGCGACAGCAGAGAAAGATAGATCTATTGATCTTTTAGCTACGATTCGATTTACTAAATTACTTTAGAAAGTCAAAGTCTTGTTGTTCTATTGGTATCAATTTTTAGTTAATCTGCAGCAAAATATACCAACTTGAAAATGATATTTTTTTTACTGTTTCTTTAATTTTACCTCATAAAATAAATAAATAGGTTGAATGAAAAAAAAATTTTAGTTATCTGAAAACTCAATGTTCCCGAACATATCGTCCAATGTGTTGAAACCTGCCGTACCAATTAAATTAAAGAATTGATCAAAGTTAGTGTCAGGGGTAAAGTTATTATTCGTTGTCGTTACATCTTCCCCTTTGCGAGTCAGATGTGAGTAACCATTACCTTGATGATAAAATGCTGATTGCAGCTGATGAGGTTGTGGTTGTATTTGATAATGATGTTGCTGTTGGGGCTGCTGTTGGGGTTGCTCTGGTGATTGCGGATACCTCTGACAGCTCTGCTGTCCTAGATTTGGTTGTGAGTTTGGACCCACATATGGAGCACTAAACGATTGTTGCGCCGGTTGAGAATGATCATCATTATTATTATTTCCAGTTTTATAGTTAAAAAATTGAGTATTAGCATAAAATCCACTGGAAGCTTTTTGATCATAGTTAACCGCATCCGCAGACTTATTATTAGTAGTAGTATTAGTAGTATTAGTAGTAGTAGCAGCAGTAGGAGTAGTAGCAGTAGTAACAGTAGCAGTAGTGGCGGTAGTGGCAGCAGTAGCAGCATTAGGAGTAGTAGCAGTAGCACCTGTGGAACTGCCATAATACATTTTAATCCAGGTATGGTCTATATTAGAATCCATTAGATTCATCATAAAGGACAAGGAGGAATCTACTAAACCTGTTCTCTTAGGGTGACCATTGTTAGGGTCATTCAACAAGTTCTCAATTCTTGGTGATTTGTCTTCTTTTGTATACTGTGATTGCATTCGTCCAAGAACATCACCATTATTTTCATATTTTTCATGACGTTGTATCTTTTCCATTTCTTCATTAGAAATTGGAAAAAGGTTTTTGAAGTCTTCTAAAGTCATATCTTCCAATATACTATCCTGAGAAACATTAATCCCATATTTTTTATATGTATCAGCATCGAGATCAGTCAACAGAATTGTCGAATCTTTTATAACGTAAAAATCTTGTTTACTAACCAACCAAAATAACATATGAGGTCTTTTCATTCTCCAAGCGTAATAGTAAGTGTCACAAGCATTATTCAAACTACTCAAGTAATATTCGATCTTTAAAGAAATTGATCTTATGATTAATTTCAAATAATTTATTAATTCAATTTTATCTGCATTACCTTTCAACTCTAAAACTTTAATTAGATGTTGACATCTTAAGGAAAAAGAATTTTGTAATTGAACAGCTTTTCTTAAAGCTAACAATATTGCTGGTAACTGAACTATATTAATACCATAACGGAAATATTTGGAAATACTTGTAAGCAAATTTGGCAAATTTGTAATAGATTCCAAGCTTCTTTTTAACATTTTTGACAAATAATACTGACAAATTTTTTTGTATTTCTTCTTCCCTTCTGGTGAATTTTCATAGTGCAAAAAAATATTATATTCAAGAGTGAAGCAGAATGAATTACAAAAACTGTATCTAATCAATCTGATTAATCTACGTAAGATTGTAGCAGATGAATGGTCCTTAGGTTCATCTTGTACAAATTCTTTCATAGATTTATAATTCTCAGTACGTAAACCATCTAATATCAGAATGTTTTTGATAACATCAATCACTTTAATTTTTTTATTTAAATCCAGAATTTGAGAAATTATATCACTTATCACATGATAATCTTCACAATATTCACGGAAACAAGAATTAATTTTTTGATTCAATTCTGTATCTTCTGGTGATATTTCTGGTAATTTCACATTACAAAGATTAAAAGTTGAAACAGTTTGATTTCCTAAAGAAACAGTTTGATATAAGTCACCCAATATCAAACAAAACCAAACTCTTCTTCTCAAATTACATAAAGCTTTATTATGTTTAAAAATTGCAATATCTCCAGGATCTCTGTGAAAACCTAAGGATACAGCCATTGATAATAATGTTCCATGGAAAATTGGAGAATCTGCACCACCAGTATTATCCCCACATTCAGGTGAGTAATGATTATATAATCTTAAATAAAGGTATGCCTGTAATAATTCAAAACTTGTTTCATCAAATATTTTAAATTCGCTGATTAATACTTTAGCAACTGATATAAGTTGAGCAGAAATTGGATTGTTTACAATATATGAATTTGATTCTGTATTATCGGATACAGAAATAAATGAAAACCTTAAGATAATGAACAATAAAGCCACAGTTAAATAATCTGATTTCTTACTAATATTTATTTTCATAAATCTTTGATCAACCAAATCATTTGAATTTGAGTCCAACAATCTACAAACTTCTTTTAAAAAAAAATCCATATCTAAATATGGCATCATGATGTATAATGTTTTAAAAAAATGGTCAATTAATAGCCATAATAATTTTTTCTTTGGCATATTATACAATATTAAATCTATAAGTTGTTGTGAGGGGAAATTTTTATACCTTGGACGAAGATGAATTTGTTCAAATTTTTGAGTAAAATCTATATCTTTATCATCAGATATTGTATCTTTAGGTAATAAATTTGAAGCTGATGGGTCAAAATATAAAATTTTTTTTTCTCTGTTAAAAATGATTTAATCCATAATGTTGTTATAAATTCATCTTTACTTTCTATAAGAGCCCAAGAAAAGGGTCCTTCCCTTGATAATGCTTCATATTTGGCAAAATTTGAATAAGCATTTTCATAAAAATCAATAGTTTCATTCAGATCTATTTGTGGATGGTTTTCTAATAAATTTTGATTAATATTTAATGAAATTTTTTTGGTATAATTATTATGTATTGTGGTGCGATTTTGTTGTTCAAATGTTATCAGTTTATCAATATTATTAACCTGCATATCTTTATCTGAATCATTTAAAATATACTTGTCACTCAAAGAAAACACATTTTGATAACTATAATCATTACTTGAAGACACATTACCCTTTGGATCAACAACGGTTGATGAAGCCCATGTCACATCCTGATATTGACATTTTATATTGGATTTAACACAATTATTACAATCGGGTTTTGATTTATCACACTTAATTTTCTTTTTCCTACAATTCAAACATACAACAGCAACCCTATGTCTTTTCTGCTTTGCCAAATCCAAAATAGATGATGTTGAAGAGGATGATGACGACCTTCTCTTAGATTCAGGCATATATATATTATCTATGTAGATAGATCTTGAAAAGTTCTTATCTAAAAATCTTTTATCTTATTCAGCTTATTTCCTTTTTTTTAAAAAAACTTTTTTTAAATTTTATTTTTTTTTATTTCGTTCTCTCTCTCTATAGTTTTGGCTTTTTTCAATAATAACTAAGCTAGATGTCAATAGCACGGAAAAAATTATTTTTTAAATTCAGCAATTGCAATTTTTAATTTAAAATAAATAAGGTTAGTAAATTTCAAAAGATATTATTATTATTATTATACCCGCTAATTAAACTTATCACTTACTATCTTTTTATCTTACTATACATTTTGCATGGAGTACGCAGAAAATCAAAAAATTAAAAAAAAAAAAAATCTAAGCAAAAAAAAATCCAAGTGGCCCAGGCGAGGTTCGAACTCGCGATCTTCTCGGTGTAAACGAAACGTGATGAACCACTACACTACAAGACCCTCAAGGATATCTATGCTTTGAAATTTCTAATTGACATTGTGTAGCATCAATTGTATAATAATAAACTTTTTTTTTGCTAGCAAAAAAAAAAAGAAGATTGAATATATGCATGTTGAATACAATAAGCATGTTTTCCTATTCAATCTTGCTAATCAGTCATGTTTTCATTAAAAGTATGGATCATGCCATCAAACAATATACATTTAATTATTGATTGATTTTATATAAGTGATTAATTTGAATTTGAGTCTTATTGTGTATATGATATATTAATATAGAAAAACATCTGATTATTAAAAAAGTGCAGGTAGTATGGAGTAATACATACTTTTTTCGTTACCTATATAACTATTTATTTAATTTATTGCTCACACACCCACCCGCTACTTATTCTTCTCCACAAAAAAAAAAAAAAAAAAATTGAATTTTGTTAGGTAAAATCTAATGAATGATCAATTTGCATTTATTATAATAAATTATAATACAATTTTATAACAAGGGTAAAAATAGCAATTAAAAAAATTATAATTGTTAATGTTTAATATTATGATTCCTTTTTTTTTTATCAACTAGATAATAAATACATCTATAAAATTTGAATTTGTCAAAAAAAATACAAAATGTACTTTTTAAATATTTTTAATCTTTCTTTATACTTTTAACAAAACTGGTATTTTTTATTCACTGCTATATTTTTAGTTCATAAAAGACAAAGACTATAAAATTAATTAAAATAAAAAAGAAGCGCCAATACTAATACTTATACTAAAATCTCTCTGGTCTAGAATTAAAAACTAAAGCAGCTATTTTTTCAAAAAGAAAAAAAAAAAAATATTATATTAAATTAAAAGCAATCATTTTTCTACAAACGAATAAAGATTTCATTAACAACAATTGTAAATAAGTTATTTAATATCTATTTATCTATATTTCTATCTATCTTAACTCTTCTTGTTATCAAAGGGGGGTTTCAAAACTTTTAGTAGTGCATATTGAACTCAAAAGTTGAAAAGAGAAAGAAAAAAAAAGAGAGAGAAAAAAAAGTTTTAGAAAGTATGGAGAAGAAAACTAGCAAAATAGAGTAAAACCAGATAAATATATAATAAATATAATTATTATTATTATATTTTTTTTTTACAATTGATCTCGACTTTTAAAAGAAAATTTTTTGATAAATAAAAAGTATTGGTATATGTTTATAAGAATTTTAATCTTAAATATAAAGAAGAATTATATGAAAAATTGTTCACAAATATTTGCATAAAAGATAATCATATATATATATATATATTTATATATATATATCCTGTATTAAAGAAAAGATTATTTTTTAAAAAAACGATTCCAACTATAAACTGATCATTTACTTTTTAATTTTTTTTTTTTTTTTTTATTTTTTTTTTTATTACTAACTATCGTCATTCCTGCTACTATTCTTTTTTTTTCTTTTACGATTTCTCACCGCCAATATTCATAGTTTTTAAAAACTAACAATGTCTTCAAATATTGATTCAAATATTGATAAAAATGATGTGGAATATGATACCGAGCAAGTTCAAGACGGTCATACGGGTGAATTGAAAACAATAACATATACGCCATGTTCTATAGTTGGTAATGGATCATTTGGAATGGTTTTCAAGACAAAATTATTACATACAAATGAAGATGCAGCAATTAAAAGAGTATTACAAGATAAAAGATTTAAAAATAGAGAATTACAAATAATGAAGATGTTACAACATAAAAATATTGTTAATTTAAAATATTATTTTTATCATACTAGTGAAAATGATGAATTATATTTAAATTTAATATTGGAATATGTTCCTGAAACTTTATATAAAGCTTCTCAATATTATACTCATAAAAAGCAAAATATGCCAATTTTTGAAATTAAATTATATTCATTTCAATTATTAAGAGCACTTAATTATATTCATTCTTTAGGAATATGCCATAGAGATATTAAACCTCAAAATTTATTAATTGATACAGATCGAGGGATTTTAAAATTATGTGATTTTGGTTCAGCAAAAATTTTAGTTCCAACAGAACCAAATGTATCATATATATGTTCAAGATATTATAGAGCTCCAGAATTAATATTTGGAGCAACAAATTATTCTACAAATATTGATTTATGGTCAGCAGGTTGTGTTATAGCAGAATTGATCTTGGGTCAACCATTATTTCCAGGAGAAAGTGGTATTGATCAATTAGTTGAAATTATTAAGATATTAGGAACACCGACAAGACATGATATTGAAGTGATGAATCCAAATTATATGGAACATAAATTCCCAATAATAAGATCAATACCTTTACTGAAAGTTTTTAAACATAATTGTGATTTAGGACTTGTTCTGTTATTAGAAAAAATCTTAGTTTATAGTCCAGTGGATAGATTAGATGCAGTACATGCAATGGGTGCGGAATGTTTTGATGAATTAAGAAATCCAAAAACTGAATTTGTTTCAAGAAATAAAAATGTCGTTGTATTAGGTGATTCAATGATAGATTTCACCGATGAAGAGCTTAAAAATGTTCAAGTTCCAGAATTGATTTCACTTCTCAGGGGAGAAAGAGAAAGAATTTAAAAGAGAATATAATACAAAACAGAAAAAACAAAAAAAAAAGCTTAGCTCTTGATTAATATTATATACAATAATTTATGTTGGCTTCATTACTTTCATTAATTTTTTTTTTTTTTCTTTTTTCAAGTTTGTCATTTTTTTCAAGAGTATTAAAAGAATAATTAGAATTTTTTTTGTTACTTTTCTTCGAAATGAACAAACTTTGCTTTTTTCTTATTCTTTTTTTTTTTTTTTTTTTTTTTTTTTTTTTTTTTTTTTTTTT